TCTGGGGCCAGTAAATGAGCCATTCTTCCATTGGGAAGACCTCTTTTAGAAGAAGAGAAGACGACATTTATAATGGCCTTCCATATTGCAGTCACCTTCCGTGGCCTATATGCCTGTGCTGTCTTGTTCATTTAAGGTATTCAGTATACTTTTATTGAGCACCTGCTGAATGCCAAATGCTGTGCTAGGTGCCAGTGATATACAGACAAATAAGTAATTGCCCAGGAACTGTTCAGAGACAAAATATGAAGACCAGCCATGAAAAATATAATTGCAGTACTATGGAATACCTGCAGGGTGGTCAATATCTGTAGAGTTTATGGGCTTACTACAGAGAGTACCTAGCCCATCCTGGATTGTTTTGTCTCATTTTCCATTATAACAAGACATAATTACACACCTGAATAGTCTAAAGAAGAGTGCTCCCTGGATCTATGAGATACATCTAAGATAGCAGCAAGCAAAGAGAATTGATGTGGAATTCAGAAAGAATTCCAGCTTGCTCACCACTTGTGTGAGCTTGGGAAACTTACTTAGCCTCCTTGAGCTTAAGTTTTCTAATCAGTAAAGTGGAGATAATGGCTTTACCTCCCAGAGTTATTGTGAGGATTAAGAAAGATAATAATGGCTGCCATTTCTTAAGTGGCTTTTATCTGTGTGGCCCAGTGATAAGTGTTTTATATCCTTTTTTAAATCTTCAAAATTACCCTGCAAGGTAAGTCTGATTACTGAAACTGGGACTAAAAAGAGATTAGATTTTACACTTCAGACCACACAACTTAAAAGTGATACAACTGAGATCTAAATATGCATTTCTCTAGATCCAACTTGGAGAAATATGCTATCAGACTTGACATATTCCAAGTATTTAAATGGTCTAGGAGAGTTCTTGGGATATAGCAGGTACTCCAGACATACAGGGGGCTTTCCATCCTCATTTTTCTCAAATATCTGAAATACGATGAATGTGCTTTATTTTATAGCATCACTTTCTCTCTAATATCAACAATTAAAGGGCTACACAGACTAATTCTCTTGCATTTAAAATGTATAAAAGGAAAGGGATCTTTTGAAATAAGCTACTTGGGAGAACATATTTTTTGTGCAGTTAGATTGGTGGTCCTCTCAGGATGGGGATTCATATGCAGCTTCCAGAATTGTTGCGTGATGTTAATATGAATGCAAGGAAACATTATCATGCTCTTATCTTTATTGCAAAAGATGCATATAATATTTGACAGCCACCTGAATTCTATAGATATGTATATATTGTCAATCAGAATATATCTTTATTTAAATAGAAAATCCACAGGTTAGAATTTTCTCATTATTACACATTTTGAAAACTCAGTTATAAGTTCAGTTTTTGACAGAAGTCGATTTCTTTAAAAAGCAGAGGTCTTAAATTAGAAAAGAAAGAAAAAGGCAATCGGATAAACCCTAATGTCACTAAACATAAAAAAATAGCCAAATGAAATAGACCAATAGATTTATAAGCATGAAAACTTCTAAGCAAGTGGCAACTCATTATAGGCATCGGTGCTACAAATAAATACTCATACAAGTAAATAAATAAGAGGAAATCTTTAGTACATGTGAAAACTAAAACCACACCTAAGTTGTTGCCCCAGAATATTGTTGGGTTATAAACTCTCCAGTATTCACTGTGAAGCTGGCATTCTTATCAATGGAATCTTCTTTATTTTAAAGGCTGGGTGATCTACTTGAGTCTATGAACAAGAAGAAATCATGCATGGACAATCAAACTGAGTTCATGTCAGAGACATGAGTTGTCAGTGAGACAGTGAGAGCTATAATGTGATACTTCTGCCAGAAATCCAGGCCATCATTGCTATGGTTATTTCTGGCAGTGCCAAGGTGGCAGTTTCAAATTAGAATGAATATTTGGCATGAGAATGTATTTGCCATTCATGTTTCTAGGTAGCAAGGGCCCCATATTTCAGCATACACATTTTTCATTTGCTTCCATATTCATTTCAGTGTCCTTGAGCTTTAATAGCTTTAATAAACCCATGTAGAAAATATCAAAATGGTTTCTGGTTATACAATATTGGTGACCAGCATACCTTTATATTTTTCCTGTATACTTTTTAGACTTTCATAGCAATCCAATTATTTGAAATATGATCCACCCAGTTCTGAATTAGGTACTACCCGTTCAATCAGAATATAATTATAAAACCTCCAATCAGCTAGTATATCTTCTTTTCCCATGGAATGTATTTGATGCTTGGTTTGCTTCTTAAAAATGCTTTATCTAGTATATTTGGCAGCAACAAACATTAGGTGACTTTGACTAATGAAGTAACTGTTGGAAGGGGACAGAATAATTCACCTCTTGGCCAGAGAATAGTAGGAATGTCAACGGACATTTCCAGGAACATGGGAAGGTATAGTTCCCCAAAGCCAAGTCAGATTCCTCACAAGATGAAGGATAATTGGAGACTTCACAAACAAAAATCAGATGCTCATCTCAAAATAAGGGTGCTATGCCTTTGGCATCAACTCTTAGAAGAGAATGAGTTTCTTGTACTTGAAAAGGAAAGATCCCATTGAAAGAGGGGATTCCAGCATAGACTTAAAAATTGAGCTAGAAATTTTCTGAATCCTAGAAAATGGAAAAGAGAGGATAGACAAATAAGACCATGGGAATCACTAATTCGAGGAATTTCAAATTAAAAATGGATATATTAAAATGAGGGAATTGCCTCACTTGGATTTATCTTAGCAAATTATCCTATCACTTTCATAGCAGCACCATATGTTTTCTTTATCACACTTACAGTGTTACATTTATTTGAATTATTATGCCTGTGTCCTCCATTAGACTTCAAGCTATAAGAGATCAGGAACTCAATCAGATTTTGTGCAACATCATTACCTGAGCATCTAGCACAATATGTGATGCTCGTAAGTATGTAGTGAATGATGGAATAAAATATCTCTAGAAAAATGTCAGTACATCACCCCTACTGTACCATAGAAGAAAATAACTCTATATAAAAAGATTCACTATTATGAAAAATGAAATTTGTAAGTTAGAAGCAGATCCAGTTTTCTAACTACAATAGTTTTTTTTTTTTTTTAAGTGTTCCTTATACACAAATCCATATTTTAATCAGTGTCTTAGAACCTGGTACTGCCTGAAAGTGTTTGTCTCCCAAAGGAAAGAATGTGCTACTTTATGTTTGCAACTGACAGGGTCCTCAGAATCTCCCCATTGAGCTGCTTATGCAAATCCTCTCTCTCCTAAATCCCCACAAGCCATCACTAGTCAAATTATGTTTGCCTGGTGTTTCTCTATTAATCCTGCAAATCTGTTTTGTATATTCTCCCCCAAACTGATGGGAAGTTAATCGCTCTATAATTGCTTGCTATGTTTCATGTCCCTATCATGAGTAATGTTGCCATGTTCTTGTCCTCAAACACCTGATTCTCACACAGCCAACTCCTAGAGCCAAAAGGAGCAAAGACAGAAACTGATTGTTGCAAGACATAAAATGACAGAAATCTCTCACATAAAAGTAGGCTAGTGAAAGGAAAGAAATGAGCTAAACAATGTATTGCCTAGATACATATTTATTAAATACAGGAAATTAAACCTGCATAGGAGAGAACAGGCTTTTTTAATGTGTTAAAGATTCCATTGTTTTTGTCTTTTGCCCTTTTCCTTTTCCTCAAGGAGGTAAAGTGTTTCTCTGCAGTGTCTTTTAGAAGGAAATTAGGCATTACAGCTTTCCCAACTATGTATTTTTTTCCAAAACAAATCCTTATTTTTGAAAATATTTGCTAATTAAAACAATGGACCAAATATTCAAATTCTAGCTTAAACATAGATATAATATACCTATGCAAACCACATGAACAAATGGTAAGTTATGAGGCATATGCTTAAAATACAGTAAAATCTTACAAAATATGAAGGCATAGTCTTGGAGAATCACCAAAATATTGATTTTTAACTTTAAAAAATCAAAACGGAGGAAGACATTTTCTCCTTTAAAATAACAATTACAAATACAGGGTACTTATTATCTAACTCTTCTTTGGGGTTCTGAAATGAACTTTAAAAAATCAAAACGGAGGAAGACATTTTCTCCTTTAAAATAACAATTACAAATACAGGGTACTTATTATCTAACTCTTCTTTGGCGTTCTGAAATGATCTGTAATTGAACAAGATTCACCCCATGATACTTACCCCAAGGTCATTTTTATTTGACTCCATTTGTTGAGTTATGGTGAAGTTGGGAGAAAAGGGTGTAACCAGGGATGAGAAGTATGAATATATTTGTATCTGTGATTTTAGAAGCATATCAGCCACACAATTTATGCTCTGAACCCTAATTGTTAAGAATCTGTACCATCTCTTAAACAAATTGATGAAATCTATGGGTCAGATTTGCCTCTTATGAAGCTTAATCATTATGCACATGGAAAATGCAAGGTTTTACATCCCACATATATTTCAGACACTTTAGTGCTTTGATTCAGCCTTAATGGCAGGGTTTGGGATTTTGCTCCCACTTTAGTACAGCCAACTAGGATTTTAGTGTTTACAGAAATAAGACATAAAAAAGTAATATTTCCCATGACAAACATCAGGGACTGGGTGCTTTACCAGTTCGAGTTTTTTAACATTTTAAAAATATTATAACTGTTTTTGTAAAACAGCTTTAACTTTTGAATAATGAAAAACTTACTCAGAAATGACTGGTACATTTTTAATGTACCCACAAGAAAACCTTTTTTTTTTTCGTAGTCTTGTAAGTGAAAGAAAAAGCCAATTATTAATGTGTAAGAAGTGCTGAATATGAGACAATGATTTGGTGCAACTTATTTGCATTTGTGCATCTTGTAGGACCTCCTGGTTCCTGCCAAACTTGATTATCCTTATTATTAAAGCAAAAATATTGAATCTCTTGTTTGAAAAACATACATCAAGTTGGGGATGAGAGCTATCTTGTTCTCTTTTGCAGAAGGTCATGCATACAAGGAAGAGGCATATGGAACTATTTCAAGAGCTAAATCAGAAATTTCAAACTTTGGACAGATTTCGGGATATACCAAATACGAGCAGTATGGTAAGTATGCTTTGCTTCAATGCCTGAGTAGAAGATGCATGATGCCAGATATTATTCCTGCCTTCCAGGACCTCCTTATCGTGGGAACATAAAACGAGCCTACATAGAAAAAAAAGTATAAGCCTCGAAAACGTACTTTGGAAAGTCTACCAAGACAAATTAGGAATGGCAGAATCTTTAGGCATTTTATTGATATTTCACATATCCTCATTTATAAGCTTTAGTTAGAATTGGTTACATATCAAAACTATGTTGGCTTCATCTGATCATTTTACTATCAGAGTTAAAATTAATTTTCTTTTCGAATATCCCTTTGGGTTAATATTTCCATTTTCATTTGAATGTCTGACATAAATGTAATTGTTTTGTGTATATGAAGTTGTTACCTGAAACCAGAGTGATAGATTTTTGTCTCCAGGAGATTTACTTATTTTTTGGTAGGAATTTTCGTACACACATCAACACTGGGGACTCTGGTTATTAACTGTGACCATTCTCTGCTCATTCATTCACACTGTTACAATCTTAGTACAGGACTTCATCAAATAAAATAACTTTGTACAATTACTATGTTTATGGCATACTCATAGCTTCACAGAAGTTTACATAATTATAAGAGTGCTGGACCAGGACTCTAGAAATCAGTATACTAGTTGAAAGCTCAATCGAGAACTATCTGATCTTAAGCAAGTTACCCAGCTCAGGTTTCTAAACTTCAATTTCACCCTCCTAAATGGAGCATAGAAAACAGTAATTAATATGTATCTTCAGTCATTACAACACTTTCAAAAGCAAGTAGGTTAGGAAGCACCTTATAGGTTAGGAAGCTGAGGCTCAGCTATAAGACATAGAGCTGGGACTGCCATCTGACACCAGCTCTTCTCCTTCGCCCAAATGTGGGGCTCTTTCTTTGCCTCATACTCTTTGCAGTCCCTGGATGGTCCGTCTTCTTTTCCAGACATCACTATTCATATTTTTCTAAAGTAGATGATGTTTGGTCACCTTCTTAATCTAGTGATTCTTCCATATGTATTTTATGAGACTTAGCCCTAGCTTCCTGATTAGTAATGTTAGCTTCTGAAGAGCTAAAGAGTAAGCATTTATATATCTTTATGTTTTTCATTTATTCCTCTCAGTACTGGTACAATGCCGGTTGTAGTAAGCTATCATGGCTGCTATTGATTTATAGTATAGCTATGATTGTTCAATCTGTGTTAAAGGAAGGCTATAAGAAATATACACTTTAACTCTTAATTGGTCTCTTAATAGTTTCTTGTTCATCAATTTTTCTCCTTAAAGTAGGAATCATGTATTATTTGTTATCACCAATCAAATGCTAGGCAAATAGAAAACACTTCATTCATAATGAGTGGATCTTCCTCTTCTACTCCTCCTCATAGAAAGCTATCAATTTTTAGCTAGCATGCAAATGAGAATTACACCATTGAGATTAGACCTAAACACATTAGCTACACATTTTGAAATAGTAAAATCTAACAATGAAATAATTGAAGAAACTTCATTACTTAGAAAAGGAGAGGGTTATATTTACAAATCTAAAAGTCTTATGCAACAGATACAGCTGGCTAACTGCTATAATATGATTGTAATTTCCCCTTGTTGTATGGTCTGGGTATTAAATCATCAATGGCACAACTATCTGTATCTCAGTTTCCTGACAACAAAAAATAGTCTACTAATTACATCACATCTCTGCAGCAGCATGCCTCTTCTAGAAGAGATTTATAAATATTTACCATTTGGAAGGTTAGGAGTGGAGAGGATAGAATTGTCATTGCTGCTTGACTGTCATCCTAAATATCTGAGAAGAGAGAGAAAAAAAATGCAACTTCCTTATTTGGTTTTGATTAATAATGAGCACGAGTGAGTTCATTATCCTTAATTTAGTCACATAATTTGTAGTGGCACATTATTAATGAAAAATTGCATAATTGGGTGGAGAAAGACTTTTTTAAAATCTCGAATAAAGGGGTTTTTCTTTCTTTTTTTTTTTTTTTTTTTTCTGGGCTGCTAACTCACAGCACCTGCCTGGCACTGCAAATGATGGTAATTACATAGAATAATAGAATTTGGGGAATCAAAGAGAAACCAAAAAACCATTTAGTCCCTTTCCTTGCTTCCAGGCAGGAAAACATTTAAATCACACTAAAAAAGAGAAGACACTTATATCCAGAGAAGAAACTATTTTACTTTGTGTGTGTCTCACAAACCATTCAGTCAAGATCTCTTTCCCCCAAGTAGCTTTTGCAAATTCTTACTTTTTAAAAATAAGCATACTCCTTTTTGCTTCATACCCAAATGTTGGTAGGTTGGAAGAAGAAGGGATGAAAGAAGAGAGAGAGGAATGAAAGAAGAGAGAGAGGAAGGAAGAAAAAAAGGAAAGGACAAAAGAGGAAAGGATAGATGGATGAAGGGAGGAAGGGACCTATCCACAAGTGGACAGCCAGTGTGCTCTGGATCCATGAACTATGGGATATGCTCAGGCAGCCCTGCCATATTTTTGGGTGGCTCTGAACTCTGCTTACCGAACATCCTATTTCTACTGATGCAGCTTAAGACCAAATTAGCATTTTGGGAAGCTTCGTGCACGTTGGCTTATATGGAATTTGTAATTTTTGAGCCTTTAACAAATATGCATCTGTTTAACTACAGCTCCTTATTCTGTACTCAAGTGCAAAACATACATAAACACAAAACAGCTGCATAAATTCGGAGACTTACACTAACTTTGAAGTTTTTATCATAAGATTCATACCTCCATTGAAACCTTTCCTGGCACCTACAGCTCTCACCACCAAATTCAATGATCCCTTTGGACTGCTCCACAGTTCATCATTTACTTGGACCATTGACGATATTACACTTTTCAGTATGAGAATCTGTAGGCTCCTCTCTTATCACACCCAACACACAGGAGGATGAGTCACTCCTGGGTACCATACGCTGACAACGAGGTCCCTCCCTACTCCCTGCAGATCTTGTTCCCACTCTGACTTCTGGGTGCAGTAGTTTTTTTACCACTAAAGAAGGCTGTAACCTAAAGGGCATCCACACATTTGTGAATAATAATGAGAACCCCAGTTGAGCTGGGAGTGATTTGGGATGCTAAAGATTAGCCGAAAGCCAGAATTTATGAATTAAGAATTAATGTATTACCCACTAATAGAACCTCTCAGGAATTCAATAGGTCATGTAGTGACAATAATAACATTTGAAATTAGAATGTAGATTTTCTGACAAAGTTTAAAATTGGCCATTTTAGTTCACATATCCTTAATGGTTGATCTTTGAAATCATATCTGTTCCACACATAATGGAACCCCTATATATTCCAAGCAAATGAGCTAACACTTTAAACAGTGTGAGTTCTTTCAGGATTGAGCTAATTGGACCTTCTGTCAAACTAAGGATTCCCAGAAATCTCCTATAGACACAACCCTTGTCTATGATAAATGAGTCCACTATGGATCTGATTCAGCAGAATTTGAAACAGTAAGCCTTTCAGTTGATGTTTGATGATTCAGGTGCCCCTAAACGTTCAACATCTCCCTATTGCCTACAAAATAAATTCCAAATTTAGTAGCCAGGCATTCAGAATCTCTTACGATCTGGCTTCCACTTCACCTTCTGCCTACTTTTCTGCTATTCTTTTTTATGCCAACTAAAATAGATAGGTCACTGTTCTCATGGTTTTCCCATCTACATGCTCTCTGGATTTTTACTTCCCAGTGTGCCATTCAGCCACCAGACCTCCAACCACACATATATGTTCATGGCCAAGCCCAGCCCTCTATTCTGGCCCTAATGTCACTTTTCTCAGAAAGTTTTATGTGTTTCCCATATAAAGAAGCCATCTCTCTACCCTTCTCTGAATTCCCATAGCACTTTTCCTAGATGATAGATATAAATATTAACATGTTTTAACCTCCATTTAACTATAAACCCTTCTGTAATAAGTATGGCTACTATATATTGAGTGTTTATTAAATTCTCCAGGCATTATTCTAGGTTACCTCATTTTTTGTATTTTTGCAACCCCACAAAGTAGGCATTAATCCACATGTTCTGCCAACTCCTTGGCCCACAATATAAAGCATATCTCTGTTTTGCAGATATTCAGGCTGAGGTTCAGAAAAATGAAATCACTTGTTTAAAATCGCATTCATCTGAAGTGGAGGAACTGGAATTTGGACCTGCATGTATCAGGCTTTAAATCTTGAGCTTCTTAGTGGACCATGCTGATTATGATTTCATCCTCCCTGGTAGCTAATATGGTGTCTGGCACAGAGCAGCTGATAAATAAATATTGATTGAAGGGAAGCAGAGAGGGGGAGAGGAAAGAAAGGAAGGATAAGGTAGGGGGAGAGGAAAGAAAGGAAGGATAAGGTAGAGGGAGAGCTACAAGACTATAATTCATGAGACTTTAGAACACTTGACTAAAGCAGAATTAATTAATTCCCTCCACACATCCTAAAAATTAACCTTTTATTAAATGTTTACTATTAACCTTTCTTCCCCATATATTCTCGGGAGTAAGTTTAATCAGTGCTGAAAACATCTCATGCATTAAATATTTTATTAATTTAATTTCCAGTTGTGATAAGTGTTTTTGTTGTTGTTTTGGTTTTTGGTTTTGGGTTTTTTATGTTGCCCAGACTGGTCTCACACTCTTGGACTTAAGCAATCCTCCTACCTCAGCCTCCCACGTAGCTAGAATTACAGGCACACATCACTGCACCTGGCTTAAGTATGATAAGTATTTCTACAGATTGCTTTTCTTAGCCATAGTTTAAGATGATGTTTAATATATTGAGTGGAATTTGGATAGTAATTCAAGTACCTATTTTATGTTCACTTGATAATTAGTTATAATCAGTTAAAGGCCAGATTTGGGGAGCAGGGAAGGTTTACATTCAACAACTATAATATTCTCACTAAACACGACATTCTATAATGAAAAATAAAAAGGAAATTGGAATATTAAGCTTCTAAGATCATTTTAATAATTCTGAAAAATATAAATAAAGAGCCAGTAGAAATTAAAAGGCAGTGATTTTCAAAAGGGAAACATCTTTCAAACCTGATAGAATTCATTGGTATACAATTAGAAGTTTAAAAAAGTACTTAAACAGTTAAATTTTATCTCTTCAATAATTATTAGTTTTAGTGAATCTCTGTATTCTACAACAAAAAGACCCACAAAACAAGAGAATATAGCAGCATTTAAATATTCTAAAATGTTAATTTCTTGAGAAAAACTAGGCATAGTGTTCTAAATTATTTAATGAAATACTGTTACCTTGAGTGACTTTTTATTGTTAAATAATATGCCCCACAAGACCTCAAATCTGCTAATCTCACCAAATTTCTGTCACAATACTTACATTTTCTACATTTAATCTTAGTGGTGACTTAACTCTCCTTCCTACTTCAACATATGGCCATACTGACAATTCACAACATGCCCCAAACAAAACATCGCCTACTTTGCCTTCTATACTAGTGTTCACTTCCTTTGATTCCTAGAAAATTGTTGGGTAACTTAGAGAAGGTATTCATCAGTTTGTTCAATGAAATAAAACTAAAATCAAAAACTATTTCCCGCAGTTGGCCATATTTTCAAGTCATCTCTGCATCATAGAAATTGGATTAAGATTACAAACACGCTCTCTTCCTGGAAACTTCAACTAGCGGTGATCCTAGTCCTCACATAAATGACTCTCTTTGCCCCTCTTCTCAACAGGAAAACCCAGCACCAAACAAGAATCCATGGGACACTTTCAAAAACCCCAGTGAATACCCGCATTACACCACAATCAATGTCTTAGACACAGAGGCAAAGGATGCTTTGGAACTGAGGCCGGCAGAGTGGGAGAAGTGTCTGAATTTGCCTCTGGATGTGCAAGAGGGTGATTTTCAAACAGAAGTTTAACAAAATCAAAATGGACTGAGGTAGAGACAAAACAATTTATTGCACTGACACTTAAGACTTGGGAAGCCTGACATTTCTATCTGGACAGTGTGACTATCTTATGTCAGGACCTTCATGTGCCAAATGTCAGTGGTGTTTTCATATGGTAACTTCTCACTAGTCAGGCTAGTGGAGAGATGACCAGGTGTACAGTTCTGACCATCCTGTGTTGTAAGTACCCGTGGAATGGATTTGTAAGGTAATCTTTATAGATAAACCTCAAGCAACGATTCATGTTGTAACCGCTTCATATGGTTTAGTTTTCAAAAAACTTCACCATGAAGCACAATGTATATATTTATGCAGTTTTTAAAGTTTATAACAGTCTGTTTGGCCATTACTACACTTTTTACTTTATAATATAAAAGCAAAGTTTTTGTCATTAAATGAATGTTTGTTGAGCTACATTCTTCATTGCTTTAAATGCAATAAAGTAATAATCTCACTTTTATATGAATAATATATTTCACATCTTTATTATTGCAGTTTTCTCTAGAAAGCTCTGAGAAGCTTTCTCTGCTGCAGCTGTGTATAAAATATTTAAAATGTTGTATGGTGTAAATAAACTTTTGTCTACATATCAGTTTTTTAGTGCATTTTATTTTGGATTTGTTGAACAGAAATTTACATATTTATAAAGTTTTTTTTTCAATACAGATACTAAAAATGTATTCATGGTTTTAATAGCATACCATTATTACTCCTTTGAGGCTAATGATTTCTCAAATGTAATAATAGGTTTGTATAGTGCTTCTGTATTTTCTACTCAAACATTCTTTGGAACAATGTACCATGTAAATGGGGCTTGTCAGAAATCTGCTGCCATCATACTCTTACATAAATATTATGTTTTTTCTATCTTGTGGCAAAAAGATAACTAGTGGACAACAGTAAGTTCCAATACAGAAAACAAAACAGGGAAAAATGTTAATTTTAAGTAATGAAGTTCACTGCATGTTTCACAAAGGAAACTACTCATACTACAGTTCTTCATCGCATACAAAAAAAAATGAACTTCTTCAGGACTTAAAAAATTTTTATCTATATAGTCTCTAGCAGAAGGAAAAGGAGAGTGGATGTATTTGATTGAACGATTGTCTCTGGAAGCCTGAGGTGAGCCAAATGCACAAACAGTCCCTAGTGTCTACTCTTGTGTTAAAGTCACACTGGTAATTTCTCTCACTATCCTCAGATACACATTAAAGGAAATACCATGGGGAAGGATTTTAGCAGTTTCTTGGTCATTTCAATGATTTGAGATGTGTTTTTTTAGTCTGAGGCAAGGAAGGGGGGTGGAGAGGAGACCGGGGTCTTCGAAGTTCCTAAAATGTGTATTTAGATTAGTCTGTGGTTAAACCTGAGCTGTGTGGTCTTCTGTGGTCTGCCTCAAACTCAAGTGAATCAGTTCCTGCTGTTCACGACCTTGAAGGCACTCAGGCCATGAGGCGGAGACTACGGTGCTTCAACATTCAAGTGCGCCTCTAAGCTAGAGCCTTAAAAACCACACAGCTCAGGTTGAACTCCTGTCAGAAACTTACAATGTTCTCAATGTCAAGATGTTAAAAGTATATTTTTAATTAGATTTTAAAAATAAAAGCAACATCATTATGCAAAAAAAGTATAACATAACTAAGGACTGATTTTTCAATAAAATAACTTTTATGCTAATTATAATGTAATTGTATAGCCTATTTATAAGATGACTTTTTGGTGACAGGAATAATATTTGGTACATCTCTCCCTCTTACTCTCTCTCTCTCTCCATATATACATATATAATATACACATATGTGTATGTATATATGTATATATCTCTGAATATGTGTATCAATCTACACATATATATATACACACACACAAATCCATAATGCTCAGTTTCATCTCCGTTACCTGTAACTGTGAATGCAGACCATGTATGTGGTCACCCATTCCACACTATAAAATCTTGAAGGAAAAGAAACACACTAAGCATATGTTTGAAAACATACAAATTCAATATGTTTAAAAACATATAAATTCAATACATTAGGCTAATATTTCTTCTACAGATTCACTGCTGTAAAATAAAATCTTACATCTTTTCACTTTGATTTTTCTTTAGTTCTAGTAACTCCATATTAGATGTATACATGAAAGCTGTCCAGAAATTGCACACTTAAAACTGTTAGCGTGGATTTTTTGGCTACTCTAAGAATGTCGAGTTGTGGTGTGGTGTTTTTTGTTTTTTAATCTACAGCAAAAAATGCAGGTGAATAAGTCTCAAGGAATGATAATTTTAAGGAAGCCGTCTTCTGCTCCACTCCTTTTAAGTGTCCCCTGAACTCCGTCTCTCTCATGTGCACACACACAACACACGCACACATACATGCACACATTCTTCCAAAGCTGAGTCACAGCTGTCCCCTTAGGCAGGGGAGCATATATATTCCAGCCTGGGCAGTGCCTTCCTGGCCCACTGCACTCATGACCGGCCAGAATCTTTGTGCCCTTCCCCTAGAAGTTCTTCCCTTTCCCCTGTCTAAATTTTACTTGTGCTTTAAAGGACAACTCATATTTTGTTTTCATAAAGTTTTTCATAATTTTCCTCCAAGTTGGAAATAATTTGTCCCGTGAACTCTTATGCCTCTGTTTCTGTACCTCTCTTAGGACTTTTCAAATATTCGATCTTGTTATTTATATGCATTTCTGATATCCTCTGGTGGACTCTCAAGTGCCTGGAGGGCAGGAGTCATGTCTGATCCATTTTGTGTTTCTTAAGGGACCTAGCACAATAATGTTCACACAATAAATGTTTGTTGAATTATTTGTGGAATTTCTTCTAGTATTGCTTACAGTGGTATACATCAAGTCACATATTCACAGATATTTATTGAACAACTATTATGTGTTTATTGCTATGTTAAGCAGTTACGATACTATAGGATCTCTGAGGCAACTCTCAATCTATTGAAGATATGGGATACATATGTGAAACAAGTAATGATATTTAAATATGAAAAAAAACCTGGATACGATATATTATTTCTTTGTGTCCTTAAAATATGTAGTAAGATTAATTATTCTAATGAAATGGAAGCCCAGAAGAGTTTAAGTGTCCAACGAAGATCACCATAAATAAATGGAACCCCAATATTAAAGCCCAGGTCTCCTGACTCCTACCCTAGAGGTATTTTCATGACACCATGGTGCTTCTACTTGTTTCTTTTAGATTATTAAGTCCCCAAGTCAAACAATAACAAGTTCTATGGAAACATTCTCAGGCAAGGAATAGAGGCATAAAATTGAAAACATGCATCGTCATTCATGGTGGTGGTGAGGCTAGTAGCTGACTGTAATAGAAAAGCACAGGTAGTCCAATATAAATTTCAAGCCAACTTGAATTTTTAGATTGTCTTCAGACTCTGTGTAAAAACACACAGCCAATTTTTTTTAAGTCAGTCAAAAAACCATTGCTTCAGAAAGTTGAGTTGGTAAATTTTGAACCATTCTCAGCTTTAGTTTTTCAGGGTTATCCATGTCTCTAGCATGTTAATTTACACAGTTTTCCATGGTGACAAAATCATCCTGCCCCTGAGATGCTTCTGTAGTTAAATTTGTAACGAGTAGTACAGCATAAAAGAGCTGTCAGAACCAAAAACCGTAGAATATAGAGATGAGAGAAAGCTTGGCAATCAATGAAAATGGTGATGATTTTCAGGTGAAAAAATAAAAAATTCAAACTTGGAGAAGGAGAAATTGTATTTGAAAAGACGGCTGCAATAGTAGGGGGTATTGCAATAGGGAGTGCACTCCAACTGTAAGATCTACAAGCATCTCAGAGCTCAGGCAGAAAGGCTTTTCTTTAATACTGAGGTAAACAGGAAAAGAAAAAGCTGAGTATGAGAGCATGGGACGAGTAGGTGTGGTGATCAGGTATTTGAGCAGGAAACGTCTTCTTTGTGGTCAGCCAGTTCTGAGAGGTACAGTGAGGGGTGGTAACTCTACTTTCCAGTGCTTGGTTAAGCTCCCAACACTTGTTTAAATTCAAAGGCGGTCCAAAGTTCTGAGTCCTGGTGAAAGCAAGAAGCCTGAATTAGGTTTGGTCAAGTTATCAAATATTATTTTCAGATTGGTTAACAGGGACAACCAATTCAGCTAGTAATTTCCAAGATAAAAAAATAGGAATTTGGAGGGTTTGTGTCTCACTTTGTTACAGTGTTTGTTAAACAAGGTATTCATCTATGAGGTTTGTCTAAGTAATTTGGGGAAGTATGGTTCTTTGTAGTGAGTCATTTCTGGAAACACAAAAGGGTGGGAAGTTTTTTGACCCTTGCTGCTATTCAAGAACACAGGTAAAGTTCATTATCACAGGTGAGGAAACTAAGTCCACTGTAAGAAGAAGAATTTTTCAAAAATTGTAATTGGTGTTCAGCCAACTGTAATTACAAGAAAGGATTTTCTCATAGTAGACAAATAGTAGTGGCTTTTTAAGCAGAAATAACTCCAAAGTTAAAGTGTGAATATTACAAGCTATATGAGAACACTTAATTTTAATGATGAGCTTGCCAATCATCTCTTGAACTCTGCTTATAAAACCTGGCACTCTGGTTTGTAAATCTGTCCTTAAAATGTCATTAACATGAGTCCATAAACCTGGTGCTGAGGGTCAAAGCAAAAATTGCACTGGACTTGGCTGGGGACGTTGGCTCACACCTGTAATCCCAGCACTTTAGAGGCCTAGGTGGGTGAATTTCTTGAGCCCAGGAGTTCAAGACCTGCCTGGCCAACATGGAGAAACCCCATGTCAACTAAAAATAGAAAAATTAGCCAGGTGTGGTGGTGCACACCTGTAATCCCAGCTACTTGGGAGGCTGAGGTGGGAGGATCACTTGAGCCCAGGACATGGAGGTTGCAGTGACATCGCGATAGTGACACTGCATCCAGCCTGGGCCACAGAGTAAGACTCTTTCAAAAAAAAAATGCACTGGACAAAGTTACACATGCAAAGAAGACTTTATTCAAGCCAAATGCAATAGGGGAGAGAAGCCAGAACTCAGTCTGAGCTCTAAGAGATGGAGAGGTTTTAAGAGCTGGGAAGAGAGTGGAGATTATAGGCCACCTGTGTTTGTTCATTGCCTTAAACCAAAACAAACATAAACTTTCAGGTATCTTTATGATAAGAGGTAGTTTTATTTTTGAAGCAAGTTGCCTGCAGAAGTTACGCACTTACCCTGTTACAGAAACTGGAAGATAAGGACATGCTTCCATGAAGATTTCAATAAAGACGTCTCCAAGGTCCTTGAGAAAGACTTTCCTGGGCTATAAAAATAGCAAGGAGTTTTGGATTTTTTGCTTTTTGTTTGTTTGTTTTGTTTTTGTTTTTGTTTTTGTTTTAATTACATCTCAAGGAGGCAGATAAAGATTTGCAAGTTTTCTAAATGAACAGCGCTAAGAAAAGCGAGGTCAAGAAGACTATCTAAAGTTTAGTCAAGTTGAGGAGAATGTCAAGGCATTGTTGGCCACAAGTAAGCCAACAGACTAGCACCTCAAAACCAACTAAATTGGTAAGACCCATCCATGGTCTTAATCAACTAGAGGACAGTC